TAAGTTCGAGGCGTTTTGCCGATAGCTGATATGYACTGTAGCAATTCTTTTCTGGCTTCACAAAAGACTATGTTTAGCAGTGCATGGGTGGTCACCCGCACTTTTTGGTATTAGCCATCCCACCACTATACTATTTTCAAAGTTGGTTCGAGTATCGATAATAGCCAAGTTTCACACCAGCATATAATAGTAGCTTACGCAACTTTCACGAAAGAAAAAGTTTCGTTCTTGAATAAATGCTATAGCTCAGTAATACTAAATACGGTACTGATTGGTRCTTATCTACTCTTCATTGTTGTCATAGGCCATAGACTAGAAGTAACCCCACAGAAAATAGTTTAACGGCGTTAAGTCGCACGATCGAGGCGGCCAATTTTCTGTGCCATTTCGTGAAATAACACTTTCACCAAACTTGGTTGATTGTGACAATCGCTGTGTGGCTTGTGGCGCCATTCTGTTGGAACGAAGCCCATATCATACAATTCATGTCAAAATTATTCGGTTATCATTGAGCGGTCTTCATCACCACGGAGGAAGTACGGCCCAATGACCGTTATTTTTCCGGTATGTACTAGTGACTCATGGATTACGTATGGATTGTTTCCTGGACAATAAAGTATATTTKGTTTATTGTCGAATCCATTCAGCTAGAAATGAGCCTCATCGTTGAAGCTGAYTCTTCGATGAAAATCCGGATCATTTCCAAGTTGTTGCTCAGACCAATTCACGAACATACGACGATTGTGATGGTCAAGCGACTTCAGTGCTTGCGTCTCGATACGGGGGCGTTTTGAGCTGTGCCTGTGGATTCAGTTTTTCTCACTAAACGCTGAGTTGTTGATCTGACAGAGCTTCGGCAATAAATTTGAATGATTTCCACTCGTTGTGGGTAGTGTTCCTATTATAAACCCATTATGTCGGACCACTAGCGGCCGCACCTAAGTGAATCCAAGCTATACACGACCCAGCAGGATCTAAAAACTAAATCAGTTTGAAGGGTTTTCATATCTCAAAAAGCGGGAGTCTCCAAAAATTGTATTATCTCAGCCAGTATTGATGGCGCTGCCAGACCTAAGCAGTTACTCTGTATGTTAGATGTCGTCATGCAGACTTCGAAGGTGCTAAGCGGTCGTGGCAAGAAATGTCTCCTTCGTATGTTGCAAGCGTCTGTTCCTTTTCAGCGCGTTCATCTCTTCATAAATACCGTTAAGCAAGATTAAACTTTGTAGTTTTGCTATATTTTCGGAATATAAAAAATTAAACCAACTTAGCAAAAATCATAATTGTTATTGTCATTTTCAGAATTTTCCTCAAGTACCGAGCGATACTGCTTTCGGTGAGACGAGTAAATTTTAATATTTACCCGAAATACAATATTAATATTAAACCACAAATTGAACCCCACCGAAGTTTAATAATGTTCCGTTTTTTTTTTTTCTTTTTTGTTGTTGTTGTTGTCGCCACTCAAAAAAGTTACGAAGATTCGCAAGTAATTCAAAAAACGGCACAAACGCACACACGAGCGCGCGTGCATGAGTGCAGGTCCCCAAAGTGCTATGCATGTGTTACCACGGAACTGTGTAGTTGTTCTTGTGCGAAAACTTTGCCCTGTTTTTGTCATTATGCCAACAAGGCACACACGCCAAGTTGTTTTATCCACAATTTGCCGCTCACAGCTTGGCTCAGAATACTATTCCCTCTATATCACACGCTCTCCCTATTTCCCTTTCCCTCATTGTACTCTTCACTCTCTCTCTATCTCTCTTTAGTGTACCTTGTGACTGTGGTTGCATATATGAGTATCAAACTCGTACATACTCACTCATCCACACACATGTTGCCGTAGCTGCCTTCGCCTGGCATTTATTTCCCTTCGGAGAAATTACCAAACGGTTAAATGCAAAATACAAAAGCTTAAATAATTCCCTTTACGATTGCGTTTGTTGTGCGACTAACTAACTACTTCGGTTTTGTTTTTCTKCTGTGCACTTGTTGGTGGTATTGTTTTCATTTTTGTTGCTTTTTAGCATTTGCTCACAAGTGCCACATGCTTACCAAGTAAAGTAACTGCCACAACTGTCTCTTTGGCCGACAATTGCAATGAGACCTGCCACATCCGTTGCCGCCGTTACTCATTTTTTGTTTGCACTTTTTATTGTTTTTTTTTTTTTTTTT